GTGTGTGTGTGTGTGTGTGTGTGTGTGTGTGTGTGTGTGTGTGTGTGTGTGTGTGTCTATATGTATGTGTGTATTTATTTAACACATATAAATATGTGAAAATATTTATCTTATGTAGATTATAATCTTAAGTCCTTGAAACAACTCATTCTGGTAGATTCTATTTTCTTTATTTTTCAAATGAGGAGAAGTGGCTCAGAAATATTAAGTGACTTGCCTGAGGCCACCCCATTAACAGATGCCAGAGTTAGGATGCAAACCCCCTCTGTGTGGTGCCAGAGCTGGAACTTTTCACGCCATACTGCACTGCTCCCTACCCTGCCCAGCTTCCATCCTCTGGTCACCTCTGAATGAAAGTTGAAACAATAGGCCTTTTTCAGCCTCAGCTGGGAAAGTATTGGGTTACAGTTTTTGCCTGCTCTGTGTTCATCCACAAATGACTGGCAAAGCTCTGCTAGTATTGATTTTGGGGTTATAAACACATTTTAGCAAGTAGGTGAATTTGTATACGGAATTTTCAAATAATGTAGTTTGGCTGTATTGATTTTGTTACTGATAAGGTGGTTGGGAGCAAGGCTTAGATTTGGACCAGATGCTCCTGCTAATACACGTTTTCCTGAGCTAAACCATTCTCCCTCTGTGATCTCTGGCAGAGCTCGCAACTGTAGGCTTCCTCTGCTGATATGGGCTGCTTACACACGGAGGAGGAGGGAAAATGCACATATTCTGAGAACTCTCTAAGAACGTGTTTCTTTACAAGTGTAATGATTTTTAGGCATGTTTCCTGTACTCAAACAAGCAATTTTCCTGGAAGACACAGTTTTTGGTCAGAAGAAGGCTTTTCCATTTTTTCTTAGGCATACCCTTTCTCTAGCATAAACTTGCACTGTACCATTACTCCGCTTTTTTTCTACCTCTTCAGATAACGTACTCTATAGGATTTAAATTTCTTTAAAGATAATTTATAAATTATACAAAGAGAATAAAGTAAGCTATTAATAAAAGCCTTTCTCCAAGCTGGGCAAGTTCAGAAAGGAAATGATTAATTGAGGCCAGTGTTTTTCCAATGTTTCTGACTATAACACACAATAAAAAACACATACTTTTCATTGTGATTTATTGCTCCTATACATCCACAGATGTAGTACATAAATGTACACACGTGTGTACATGTATATACCCGAGTATATAGGGGTGTGTGTGTGTGGTGTGTAAGATAGTAAAGAAAACTGATTTAGGCCACTGGGACACCAAATTGCAAATGGTGTTTTCATGGCTATAAGAAGTATCTAAAAAGTGTAAATTATTCCAGAATTGTATAAATCATTTCCAGATTGTAAACTAACGATTCTTTTGATTAGGTCTACATCACAACTGTGTACATGTCATTTTATATTACATTTTCGTTTCTGGTGTACTTAATGCTGGTTTTTATTTCTCCCACCCTTCACAGTGACAAAAATGCAGATATTAATGAAGAACAACTGACTGCTTGTCTTCTGAGAAAACTAGGTGAGATGTCTCTTTCATATGTTTTCTAAATGTTAAAAAGCAAGGCAGCAGCAAATAAACTGATGTGTCTTTGAGATCTTGTGTACATAATGCTGTTCTTTAAAATAGTGTAGAGAATATTCTCAACGAATGAACGTCCTTTTAAGATAGGGATGTAGTATCTGCCGCCGCCCCCCACCCCCAACTGCCAAGTAATTGATTGGTAGTTGAGCAGTGGAGAGAATTTTTGACTTAACTGTGAGCAAAGTCAGTGGTAGAACTAAGACTTTTAACCCTTGAATTCTGTTCTTTCTGGTCAGGTATGTTATCTTGGAGTGTTGGTGTAGGTGTGCCATTTTAGCTTGGTTTGTTACTGAACATGGAATGCCTGCCTCTATGGGGTTATAGCTGATAGAATCCTAAATGTACTGAGTGTAGAGAATTTCAGAGAATTAGCTTGACCTTCTGTCTCCAGATAGTGCCCTATCATAGGGGAATATTAGGTCCTCTGTTTTTCATAACAGTTGTTTTATTAATACTTCCATCTTTGATTTAGTCTTTTCAGTCAGATAGTTTTGTTAATAGATGAAATAAATTGCTATTTAAACTTTAAATGGGTGAAAAATTGTGCTAACGTATATATTTAATAAATTGTTTTCCAGATGGCAAGATTGTTTTACCAGGCAACTTTCTGTATTGTACATTCTATGGACGACCATGCAAGTTGCAAGTGTTGCGAGTGAAAGGAGCAGATGGCGCGATGTTGAGAAGGGCTCAGAATGACTCTGACACTGTTGCCCGGGGAATGGCCTCCAAGCCATCCAGTGTGGAAACTAGTACCCTGGATATATCCTTACAGCTAAGCCAGTTAGGTCTGGAAGTGCCCCAAAACCCAACATCAAGCAGTACTCCTTACAAACCAGGAGATGGCAGAATGATAAATAAAGCTGGTGGTGTTTTGTCAGGTGTTACACAGAGTCCTGGGAATGGAAGTGGACTTGGACTAGAGGCAGTCACAGGTCTTAAACGTCATTCTCAGTCTGCCAGAGAAGGAAATGAGCAACCTGTCAATGAAGAGAGATTGCTAAAGTCACCCAGCGTGGGAGCACAGTGCAACACCGATACCTTTTATTTTATTTCTTCGACAACAAGAGTCAATTTTACAAAGATTCGTACAAATTCAAAAGATCAAGACAACCAATTAAAAGTAACTTATGACATGATTGGTGGCTTAAATAGTCAGCTGAAAGAAATTAGAGAAATAATTGAATTACCTCTCAAACAGCCTGAGCTTTTCAAGAGTTATGGTATGATTTCTTCAGTGTACTACACCCAGAAATGTTAAATTCATACTAAAAGCAGTTGGCTCATTTCACTTATCTAATAATTGTTCACCCTCTTTTCCTGTTTTTCTTTCCTGAGTGGGAGGTGTGGTAGGAGATGCCAGTTAAGTCGGCCTTTTTCTATGCTTGGTCTCTTCAGGTTGTAATGTGAGTTAGTTGTAGCCTTGTCTCTCTTAACTGCACACTTCCACAGTTGTTTGTATTGGATCTAGAGTAAGTATCTTGTCATGCTAGATTAGCCGTAATGACTAAAAAAATAAATCAAACATTTAAATAGTTTGGATAAAACTTCTTTGTTAGGAAATGTAGCTGGGTGCAGATCTCTTTGCATTGAAACAAGTAGTTAAGGGAGTGACTTGGCTTTTAGAAAACTCAGGGCTTCTTCTGCATTGTTAACTGCCCAGATCCTCTGCATATATTTGGTGCATACCGTGTCTTTCTCTGCTTTTTGCTTTTTCTTTTTTCATGAATATCTATATCTATTTATCTATCTATATATAAAATGAATACTTGGATTCACATATAAAAGGAACCCTGGTAAGGCTTATATTCTCTGAGATGGCTAGTTGGATAAAAATTGGGGTTGGTGGCTTATTTTGCATGCCCTTCCTGTTGTTTGGGCTTTGTTTTTTGATCATTGAACTGTGCTGTGTGGGATGGGGCATGTCAATAGTGTGGGTGTTAAACCAGTTTTTTTACTAACCAGCCTGACCTGGTTGGGTCTACAGAGAGAGAAAAAGTCATTGCTTGAGATCAGCGTTTGGGCTAGTTAGTACATTTTTCTATGGGGAAAGGGAAGTTCTGACTCTTACTTTAGTTTTTGTGCAAGGTAAATTTATTTTATAACTCGTGTTTGAAGTCATATGACAACACTTACAAGCAACCTACTAATGCTGCATCCAGTGTTCTCTGCTTTTTCTTCTAGGAATTCCTCCCCCTAGAGGAGTGTTGCTCTATGGCCCTCCAGGTACTGGAAAGACAATGATTGCCAGGGCTGTTGCTAATGAAGTTGGTGCCTATGTTTCTGTAATTAATGGCCCTGAAATTATTAGCAAGTAAGTGCATAATTTAATAGACTAAACAATATTATTAGATATACATCTTAAATGTGGTTTTTAAAAAATGGCTCAATAGTATTCTGTCTGGATATTTCACACATTGAAATTTTTTTTTGTGTGTGTGTGTGTGTGTGTGTGTGGTATGCGGGCCTCTCACTGTTGTGGCCTCTCCTGTTGCGGAGCACAGGCTCCGGACGCGCAGGCTCAGTGGCCATGGCTCACGGGCCTAGCCGCTCTGCGGCATGTGGGATCTTCCCGGACTGGGGCATGAACCCGTGTCCCCTGCATCAGCAGGCGGACTCTCAACCACTGTGCCACCAGGGAAGCCCACACATTGAAATATTTTTAATTTGCTTTTTTTAATGTGTATAAACATTAAGTTTGGAAAATAATTTTTGAAAGTAGTATTAAGTATTGTGGAAATATTTGAAAAGTCAGGTGAGCTTTTATAGACAGAGCTTTAAAAATGATAAGAGTTGGTCTTTAAATGTATTTTATTTGTTACAGATTCTATGGGGAGACTGAAGCAAGGTTACGTCAGATATTTGCTGAAGCCACTCTGCGGTATTCTTTATTTTTGGATGTTTAGAATTAGTAGTCCAGGGTGTATTAATGAAAGTAGAGATAGTAGTACTTTATACGAAGCATGAAAGAATAGAACAAAAATAATAGTGATAGCACTGGAAGTAGATTGTAAGTTTAATGAGGTTCTATCTAATCTAATTCTATCTAATATTGTTTTGGAAATGTGAGAAATAAGTTATTAAATTACATAATGTAGCAAAAGGTACAAACTTCCCGTTATAAAATAAATCATGGGGATGTTATCTACAGCACGGTGATTGTAGTTAATAGTACTGTATTGCACATTTGAAAGTTGCAAAGAGAGTAGATTTAAACAGTTCTCATTATAAGAAAAAAAATTTTATGACTGTACGGAGACAACGTGAATTAGACTTATTGTGGTAATCATTTCATGATACGTATATACAAATGTTGAATCATTATGTTGTGTAACTGAAAGTAATGTTATATGTCAATATCTCAATTTTAAAAATTACATAAGGTAAAAGAATTAAGACAGTGCTGTCCGATAAGTCATGTGAGTTTGCTTGAGCATATAAATTTATGATTTTCTTTCTTTTGGGTACATCTAATCTCAATAGGCTATTATAGTTGCCCTTTAGGCTTAAAACTTTGTTTTATTACAGTTTGCTTCAAAGTGACAAATCTTTTGCTTTAAAAATGATTCTTACTAATCATTTCTCAGTTTAGGCTACCATTGTTACATTGCAAGGAGTATTAACGAGTGGCCTGTAACTTGATCTAATGTAGTTTTATTCATAATATGGCTATGTCTCTTTCATTGTTTTGGTATGTAACCTACCATAATTACTGCCCTCTTATCAAAACTTCCATTTTTAAAGTTTTTTCCCCCCAGTAGATAAAATAAGTAGTCTTTACTCCAAATACTGAAGATTTGAGAATCAGTGGTATACCTTATTGTTTAGAATGTTTTTATTGTCACTATTAATTTGTTCCTGGAAGTTGAGACTTCCTCTTACGAGAGAATTCACATCTTTGTATGGGAGAATTGGTCATCTTGAAAGTTGTTTTTTTAGTAGATTTTTAAAAAAGAGCATTTCTACTTTCTATCCCTTGGAACTTTAAACCATCTCCAAGGAATAGCATCACTGGCCTCAGCTTCTGAAGTGATCCAGGCATAGCAATTTAGTGGGCATTAGTGGGCAAGTTCTGTTTGGGCATAGACTGTCATCTCATGAGCAATACATGTTCTCAGTACTCTACTTTTTATTGAGGGCAGATCTACTAGAATGTGATATTGGTGAGTTAATAATTTAGGCTAGAATTAATCTAAGATTTTTCAGCTTAACATCCTATTGCTTTTGTCTTTAATATTATTAATTAAATCCTAAATTTGATGCATTGCATTTCAGTCAAAAAATTAAAACAATTTCAATTTTTTAACTGCAGTGCAACGTATCAATTAAAAATTAAATATATATTAGAGAATTCATTTTACTTGTTTATTTTTAGGCACCCATCAATTATTTTTATTGATGAGCTGGATGCACTCTGCCCTAAAAGAGAAGGGGCTCAGAATGAAGTGGAAAAAAGAGTTGTAGCTTCACTCTTAACACTGATGGATGGTATTGGTTCAGTAAGTACAGCACCAGTATTGATTTCTGTAGGAGGGGCTATTTTCTTAATAATATGCATGTAGTGGCAAAAACTGTCAAATATGTCTGAGTTTTTTGGATACTCTAGGGTAAGGAAGAAATATTAGCTGTAAAAACTAGAGGAAAGACCCATAAAATAATTTTCTTCATGATTTCTTAGTAACAGCTAGGACAGTATAACCTGGCATATTTTTCTAACATATAAAATTATATACAATGATAGATTTATAGTAAATGGTGTTAACCTAAAAACCTGAAGCCCAAGTCAGTAAGGAAAATTTAGCAATTAAATTTAAGGGGAATTTACTAAGAAATTTCATGAGTAAGTCTTATTACTCTTGTAAAAATTGATTCTTTGGGGGCTCTAAGTTGGGCAAGTGAAAGGACAGAAAGTGAGAATAATGGGAAATGTGTTTGTACAACATTTAAAAAGAATTTACTCATGTTATCAGATTCTTTGATAGTGCATACAGTCTTATATTAATAAAAACTATGTGCTGATTATGAAAGGGAGATCCATAGGACTAATAGGGAAGAGGAATGAAGAAAAATTCTCTCAGACTCCTGTTAGGCATTTATCAGAAGAATACACTTCTTATGCAAGATTGTAAATAACTCATATTTTTAGAATCATAGTATGTCAGAACCAAAAGAAATTATAGAAATCATGGAGTCCCCAGTCTTTTGCACATTGAAAAACTGGGCAATTCGAACTTTTTGGTTTTACTGACTATTGGTAGAAACTGAACACGTGAAAATAACGGGAACGTTTGGTATTGTCTCTATTATTTGCTAACCTGTATTACAATTTTAAGAGTAACATAAGAGAAGGGTTGTAACCTGCGGGAGGCTGGATGACCATCTGGTTCTCAGTCTTAGGGCACTACCTAGGTGTGATCATAATGTCCCAGGTTCGGTTCTGAACTTACAAAGCTGGAGGATTCAGTGTTGTTAGTATGTTGGAGATAGTGGAGCTCTGAGGATAGATCCATAATAACAACACTCACAAGAGACTGTTACATAAACTGGGACACCAGTTCGTCCATTTATGATAAGAAGTATAATTATTATCAACTATACTTCAATGAAAAGAGTTTTAAAAAAGAAAAAAGTATAATTATTAAGCTGACCAAATACTTTGTTTATGAACGGTTCTCTTTTCATCCTGAAGAAAAATATATGTGGAGAGCTGTATTATAATTCGAATGGATTTTGGTGAGTAGGAAATCAGGAGGCTCTGTGTTGGAGGATCTTAATTACTATGTCATTGCTACCTCTTTCTCTGCCACTGGGATAGACCTGCTGTGAACTGATGTTCTTGCCTTTGGGCAGGACTGGGAGCATGTGACACTGATGTTTTCGCCTGAAAATGTTTAAGGGCCTGTATTTTTGTCTTCTAAACTCATAATTCATAGGTTCACTGTAATCCGTGCACTTCCTGTTGGCACATCCAGTATAGTTGATTAGGTTTGAGTTTTCTTACTTCAAATCACATTCCAATTAAGCTTGTCTCTGTGAGATTACACTTGGGTCATCTGAGTAGAATATTGGATAATTTCTAAAGGTGGCTCATTGTGAACATAGTTCTTTATAATTTGTTGTTCCAGATTTTATTCTCAGAGTAAAAATCCGTATGTATTCAAGGGTATCTGATACTTGGGTGTTGGTTATATTTTGTGTATTTTCAGGAATTTGAATATTTATCAAAACAAAATAGAAACTGAATGTGAGGAAGATTTCTTAGACAACTGCGTAATAGAGCCTTGTTCTGTTTGAAACACGTGTAGGTCATAATCTTTGCTTTCAAGTAGGGAAAAGGACAACTTAAAACAATTAAACAAATTAAAACTATGGTATAGGGTATATATGTTGTTATTCATGAGAATTGTGTAGTTAAGATGCTAGAAGTGGGAGAGACATCACTTAGAGTAGATAGTTAAGTATTGGAAAACTTTCTAGGTAAGGGAGCATTTAGACTGAGCTTTGGGAAATATGGGATGAATGACAAAATTTGAGAAATAAGGGATAGGACTTAGCCTAGTTAGATCTATCCTTGTCTATATAGCGAGTGTGTATTTTTAAAATTTTTTTACTTTTAGAAGAATATGTTATATATATATATTTTTTTTTTCTTTTTTTTTTCGGTACGTGGGCCTGTCACTACCGTGGCCTCTCCCGTTGCGGAGCACCAGGCTCCGGACGCGCAGGCTCAGTGGCCATGGCTCACGGGCCCAGCCACTCCATGGCATGCGGGATCCTCCCGGACCGGGGCACGAACCCGTGTCCCCTGCATCGGCAGGCGGACTCTCAACCACTGCGCCACCAGGGAAGTCCCTGTAATATATTTAAATTTTGTTTTGTTAGGAGGGAAGTGAAGGACAGGTGTTGGTTCTTGGGGCCACAAATCGTCCCCATGCTTTGGATGCTGCACTTCGAAGACCTGGACGGTTTGATAAAGAAATTGAGATTGGAGTTCCGAATGCACAAGACCGGCTAGATATTCTCGAGAAACTGCTTCGAAGGGTGCCCCATTTGCTCACTGAAGCTGAACTGCTACAGCTGGCAAATAATGCTCATGGATACGTTGGAGCAGACTTGAAAGCCTTGTGTAATGAAGCAGGTGAGAGTGATTTGCTGTAGTGACTCTGTACTTATGGATTTAATAACTGGTTTATTTACAAACTGATAATTTATATCTCACTTATTTCCTAATGGAATAGCTAAATTTTTTTCTAATCATAAAATATATATGTTTTATGAAAAAAATCCGGATAATTCAGAAAACTATAAAAATGAAATAAGAATCACTCTTAATCCCTCTTCCTAAAAATAAAAATATACACATAAAAATATACACTTAAAAAAAGGATGTACTTGGCATATACAAGCAGTAAATAAATATTAACTGCTGTTAATATGACTTAATAATTTCAGATTTTCAGGTATTTAACTGATCTTCTGTTTCCCCTAATCTAGCAATGAATCAGATTTTGAGAAGGTAATTTTTAAAAAGATTAGTCTTAAAATTAAAGTGTCCAGTTGGGAAAATATGTAGTTTTGTGTATACTGTCTTAAATACTAGTGTATGTTGTGTTATGCAGTCGTGTTCTCTAACTTTATATAGCAGAATAAAGCTTAAGAACAGTGTGCGAGAAGTTTTGCAAGAGATTTTTCTGAAGAGGCAGGGGTGTATAGTAGAAAATGGATTTTGAGTAGAAAATACCTTTAAAATCAATCTTGTGGTCTTGGGCAAGTTCTTTGCCTTATCTGAGCCTTAGTTTTTCCCATTTGTAAATTGAGGGGGTTGTGGTAGATGATACTTAAGTGCCTTTGTACATATGACATTCCTTGGATATAAGGGAGAAGAAGAAATAAATGGAAAAAAAGAAGGGAAGAAAGTAAGGGGGGCAGGGAAGAAGGATAGGAAGGATAGGATGATCTAGAACATAACAAGGAAGTACCCAAGTTAGGCACTAAACCTGGCCTGGCCTCATTAGCTACTTTCATACACCTGGCTTTTCCACTCTTCATTGTCTTCTCTTTTGTGTCTGAATGATTTAAACTTAGGTGGTTAGTCAGGGCTTTCTCCCACAATGTTCTTAGAAATAATGCTACAAAGCAGACTAATGCTGATTGTGAAGTTAACTGCATTTTCTCATTGAAACAGTCTGACTAAGGACTTGATTAACTTATACATTTGGTTAATAGTGTGACTCAGAAGGAAAGATAAAACAATTTAAACTCTATAATTAAAAATAGTCGAATTTTGCTCCAAATGCTATAGAATGGGCATATCTCACTTATTGAATATACAAGGGCACCCCTAATGTGTGCATTGAGCATAGGAAGAAAAAACTCAGCTATACAGTAAATTTGAACTACGTATTCTCCTAGTTCTAGGTAAAAAGAATTGAACATTTAATGTTGCCTTCTAACTAAATTCAAATTTAGAGGAGTTATTAGGGGAAAAGTTGGATGGCTCTTAGTCTTTTAAAATGACTGTCTAGGGAAGTTTGAACTGCTGTGCCCCCCTCTTTTTTTTTAACATAGTAAATGCCCTTGGACAAGTAGAAGCAGTCACAATTATTACACTGACCTTAGAATTACACACAAAGTTAGAATCATATTTTTTACAAAAAGAGTCATGGTAAAATTTTAATATTTAGAAGCAGTATGCTCAGTACATATCTGAGAAGTGTATGTGAAAACTGGGAGACATAATGAGATGTAATTACCACTCCACTCCTCTTGGTAGAGTAATAAAAATATTTATTCACTTCAGAGTTGAGTTTAGTTTTGTCTTTAAACCTCCGTTGAGCTTCATCTCCTCCTGTCCTTTCTTGCCTTTAGAAATCCCTGCTCTGTGCTAAGGAAACAACTCCAAGTGGTTATTGCTACCTTCATAGGTAGCAGTAGACAAGGTAGTGTTCTGTGGTGCCTTAAATAACTGCTGCTATTTTTTTGAACATTTCCAGTCAATTTTTGGCTTCCCACTGACAAGATTTCTCAGCTATGGTTCTGACTGTGGACTTTAAATACATCTTGCTTAAAACCAGTGCTTTTTAGGAGGCATTTTCTTTGTTCACCAGTTGTGCTGTGTGTAAGTGGACAGCTTGAGAATTCCCACTGGCTTATCTAGGAAATAAGGCACCTTGACCTCCAAATTTGTGAGGAAAGTGAGAGACTCCAGCTCCAAGAGATGTATTCCTGAGTACACAAGTTAATTCTGTCTCTTATTTATTCTTTTCTGCAGAATTCAGATTCATTTCACATGTTCTCAATTCCAGACAGATCACTTGGAGTTGAGGTTCTCAGACTTTATTGTGCATCAGAATCACCTGGAGAACTTAGTAGATTATAGATGGCTGGCTGTGCCCTATTCCCAGAGTTTCTGATTCAGTAGGTCTGGGCTGGTACCTGTGAATTCCTAATATGTTCCCAGCTGATGCTGATGCTGCTGGTGTGGGGACCACACTTTGAGAGCCACTGACATAGGTCACTGGTTCTTTTTTTTTTTAAAGGTAGGAACCCCTGTTTTTGTTTTTTAATTTTTTAAATATTTATTTTATTTATTTTTGGCTGTGTTGGGTCTTAGTTGAGTCACACAGGATCTTCCTTGTGGCGCACGGGCTCCAGAGCACCTGGGCTCTCTAGTTGAGGCACGCTGGCTCAGTAGTTGAGGCACCTGGGTTTAGTTGCCCTGCCCATGTGGGATCTTAGTTCCCCAACCAGGGTTCAAACCTGTGTCCCCTGCAAGAGAAGGCGGATTCTTAACCACTGGACCACCAGGGAATTCCCAGGTCATTGGTTCTTAAAACCTCATTATGCCTCAGGTTCACCTGGGAAGCCATGCACACTCCCATGCAGGCGTGCGCAGGCTCACACGCACACACACACACACACACACACACACACACACACACACACACTCTCTCTCTCTCTCTCTCTCTCTGTCTCTCTCTCTCTCTCTCTCTCACACACACACACACACAGACACAGACACTCAATCACTTTCCATACTTAATTGAATAAAGAAGGTGGGGAACTGGAATCAGTATTTATAATGTTTTCCAAGTGATTTGAAGTAGCCAGTCTTGTACTTCCCTGTGAATAGGAAATGTATCATTAATTTAGGCCAGTGGTTCTCCTGCGTTAAACCTGTATAAGAATCACTTGTAGAGCTTGTTAAAACACAATTCTGGGCTGCATGCTACTGGTTTAGTAGGTCCAGCTGGGGTACAAGAATTTGCATTTCTATCAAGTTACAGGTGATAATCAGTGCTGCTGGTCCAAGGGCTACACTTTGAGAACCACTGATCTAGGCCAACCAGTTCTCTGATTTTTGGAGATTTCTCTGTAACTGATTTAAATAACTGCATTTAGTTTAGGTAATGTAATTCTGACTCTCTCACTGATAGTGTTGAGTTTCTTCCTAGAGTTTTTATGTGATAGTAATGTACTACTGTACTACTACTACTACTGTATACTACTGTATCATTTTAGTCTCTGACTGTAGGAGAAAATGAGTGTCCTAGTTTGTCTTGCAGGTATATATAATGGTTCTGAATAAAACTTTAAAATGAAAAATAATTCTGAAAGATAGAAAGCCCCAATTAAGGAAGTAGTTAAGGATTAACACTTAAGAATACAAGTAGGAATGTAGACATGTGTTTTTCTTAGAACATTTGCTTGCTTATGATTTGTGGACATGTATGTTCTTTGAGCTTTTGGTGTGTTGGCTGTCTGGTGGTTTTCCTTTTTCCTGAACTGGCTTCTAGTTGGGGAGGCTCTGCCATTTTTAATAAAATGGTGCACAGGTGTCTAGTAATTACATACATTGAAGTGATTCAGAATTTCATAAAACCTAAGTGAACTATGTTACTGATTGTTTTGTTAATCTTAAGGTTATTGTTTGTGGGTTATTAATACAAAAGATCAAAATCATTGTAGTATATATGTTTGTGCGTGCTTTTCCAGAGGACCGAAGGTTTGCAATCTATTCCAGAGTTTGTAAGGGTGATGCTGTGTCTTTTGCAGTGTGATTGCTCTCAACTTTTCTAATCTTTTTTTCTAGTGTTACTGAATATTTTCCATACTTTTAAACTTTGTCTCCATAACAAATAAGAAAGTTGGAAATACTACTGTAGTATTGCTTTCAACAATTGGATCTCTTATTATCTGAGCAGATATAATGTTTAATGTTGCAGGTTGGGTGTGAAACTGATTTTCAAATCTTATGTTTTCTTTATAATTAATTTTTGAGCTAGAGTGTGGTTTGATAAGTCGTGACTTGTCCAAAAGCCTAATGTTTTGTAGCTCACCTTTTTAAGCAAAGAGCAGCTGCATTTTGAAATGTTTTATCTCAAGCAGACAAGCTGTTTATAAGCTCAACTCTGACACATCCTGACATTTAATGTCTATGTTTTTATCCCTCCTGGGATTAGGCTGCCTTTCTAATTAATTAGTTGCATAGCCTTTTATTAATTCCCTCAAAATTTATAATGTTTTAAATTAACAACATAGATAAGCATACCACACTTTTTTAGAAAACATGAAATGTTAATTATGCAGTGGAGACATGAATTATATAAACTCTGCTGAATGTTAGAAGATGCTTAGCAACAATGTTTTCCAAATGCAGGGATTTATTATAAACTTATCCTTCTAAGGCTGCCTGTGCCATTTCAGGAGAGTGAATATAAATAGAGCTTGATTTCTTCAAGAAGAGGTCTCGGTCATTTTGTTAACAGTGGAAGGAAGCATTTGCTTCACATCTCTAAGAATTTATCTTTAGCATCCTTGTTGATTACACATCATTTCAACATGTTCATACCAAATGCTTGGGCCTTGATAAGATACCATCACAGAACAGGAAGAATTAAAACTCTTATTTAAACAATGATTTTGTCATTATTACACTTACGTAGGTCTAGTAAAAATACTGAATCTAATTATTATAACATAACTTCTTGTGAAATGGAAAATGTTATCTGTCTTGCAGCAGGGTTCTCAGATATTTATAGCTGTTAGTCCTCCCTCCCACCCTTCACTAGCTTATTTGAACAGGAATTTATGGAGGATCTCCTATGTACAGTCCAGTTCTTAAGAAAGGTTCTTTTT